AAAGGGAACATGAGAAAACTGTCGGTTAAGAGAATTATGTTGTTCACCCAAGAACAACATCATCCATAACATATATAACAACATACTTTATAAAGTATATAAACCTGCAGTAGGGTAAAGTTGGCTGTGAGAAGTAGCACACAGGCTCCATGGTTAAAGGAGTTGTGTCACGATTACTGCACATGCTCGAAACTTAGCGCTCACAGCTGCTGACTGCTTTCAAGTCAGAATGGGAGGTCTGCCGAACTGGTCTGCCGAACATGCAGCTTATGTGATGAATGATTTGGAAGCTGCTACCAAATATTAAGTTTAAGTAGCAGGCAAATGCAGATCCCTGCAATAATCTTTTGTTTCACTCACAAATTTTGTTAGCTTAGTAGCTAGCTACTTAACTCGCATCAGTTAGATAGCATCTTTCGAGAATTGGCCAAATTACTAGCTAATGTTCCCTACGTGGCTATAGCGGCTACACTGCGTAGCTAGCATCACAGATATCCACATCAACCTATTATTTCAAGTGCAACTTTGTTTGCGAAGTTAGCTAGCCAGCAAGCTGAATGTTTTCTGAATGTATAATGTTTTTTTTTTCTCTCTCTCTAGCCAAACAGAAGGTGAAAACCCGTCAAACTTAGAAATACGTCGTATCCCTTGGATTTGTCCTTTATGCCACTGCTTTGGAGAAAAAAGCAAGGAAAAATCTGCCTAAGTTTTGCTGCTGGGGTTCCATAAACCTTGTAATCTTAGTATTTTAGATGGTATTGCAAATGCTTTTTAGTCATCTCTGGCTCTTTGTGCTCTGAGGCCAAGTGTCCTTCCTATGTGTTCAGATTTATTGTGCTTTTTCTCAATGGAGTCTGAAATCCTTTGCCTGGAATCAAATTCTTCTGGGAATAGGAAGTCATGAAAATGCACTGTTAGTTACTCCATTGGCTGCTGGAAGTGAACACGGGGACATGGTAGTGTTTACTGAGAAAGCATTAGGCTTGAAAAGCAGAACTCCGTGACTGCGGAACAAGTTCGCCTTAGAATCATGCAAGAGCTTGCTTACCCTACTAAACACAGTTCTGTGCTCTACCAGGCCTCAGGATGGAGGAAAAAAATATGGAAAAATATACGTGCGCCACATGAATGGCTGGCTTGTTAGTGGAGCCCTGGATAGATGTTCCAGAATTTTCCTCGTGTAATGGCTTAAAATCCACAGGGTTTGCCCACGAGGCATAAATTCTGAATAGCTCCCGTTGAACACTGTAATTGGATTTGATATACGGCTGAAATTCAGAAGTCCTTTTTGTTGACGATTCCTTCCTTGTTTTAGAAACTTCAAACTTTTTGATATTCCAGGGGTCAACATTAATGGCTGCCCAATGGCACAGGGAAAGCCATATTGCCTTTTGGGCAAGCCAGAGGTATGCTAGGCTTGCCCTGTTGGACAAATTAAAAAATTCAGTGTAATATGTTAAATTTTCATGAAAACAACAATTTTTTTTCTTGCAGTCATGTGTGTTTGTGCACAGATCTATCAAGAAACTGTTAAGCACGTGGCAGTATGATAATGTATGGAGCGGTATGTGGCTCATAATTATTTGAAATGAAGTCCCGTATTTCTGCCCACCCTGTCAAAGATTGCGAATCCAAACTTAAATATAAAAAATTGCAAACGCATTGATCGTGGAGTATGATATTTTTCAGAAGCGTGTTATACTTAGTTGGTGTCTGTGAGTCGCACGGGTTTCTGGTAGTGTTTTTTTTTTTTTTTTTTAATCACTTAAAGGTAGCTTGAGTCTAGGTCTACAGTTTTGTCTGCCTGTCTGTCTATCTAGCAATCAGTCAATCAATAAATCAACATCGAGAATTGGAAATTGGCCAGAAGTGTTTGGGTGTCACGTGATGAAAAGGAGGCTACACACAAGGTCATACTTCAAGGGTTGGTTGAGTTTACGCCTTTTGACGTCTAGTTTGGAATCTACAGACATGGTTGTTTTGTAGAATGCTGCCCTGGAGTTGCGCTAACATCCTCCCAGTGTGTTGAATGGACTAACAAACTTCACCAGTGTTTCAACTGACATGGCATTGAGAAGATAATAGCAGAATTTTCATTTTTAGGTGAACTGTTTTCTCTGAGGAGAAATGTATTTTTCTGGCTTCTGGAGGTTTGCAGCATTTGAATTTTCTTGCCTGAGAAGCCAGCAGTGATTTCCTGGATCCTGCATCCACCCCACACTTCCTCTATGGGCTTTCACAGCGTGAATGGGAGGATATTGGCACCAGCATGTGAAAGGAGCCCTTTGTTGCATGATGAATACATTACTGCCCCCTAGGCCACTTATTAATTTATTTTGTGTGCACATTTCTATAGGAAATTTAACATGTTTGCCATTTATTTTCTGACTTCACAGTACAGGATTATGGTTAAATAAATACATAAATAATTTCATTTGAAAGTAGGCACAAAAGTTCAATGCTGTTTAAAACCATGACTGTAGTTCTGAGATGCAAACTGTTGAAACTTTCTGCCCTTTATCCTGTAGCAGTGATAATGGAGTCTAATTTGTAGTAGCCATGTAACAATTAGTATTCTGAAATGATTGATTTTGGAAAGAAATAACATTTTTCATTTGATTTTCACAAACTACTATACCTACAAAAGTGAGCGTGAACTTTTTGTGAAGATGTCGTGTTCGATTTTTTTTTGCATTTTGGTTTGACTGGTCCTTGTTCCCTCAGTCTTTTTCAGGCTTAAGAAATTTCAGATATTAAGACTCACTTTATTGTAAAATAGGGACTCCTATTGTTATTTGGGCGTTTGAGGTGTTCCCGCTCTGGGTACAATACCATCTCTGGTTTAGTAATTGTGCGGCTCTTGTGTCAACTAGGAAGTGAAACGATAGCTGTGCACTTCTGCAGCAGCACAATCTGGTCTGCCCATCTAGTATTGAGGTAGGACTAAAGAGTAGCATGCTGTCCTTACAGTCCTGGGCTTTTAGAACTTGTGGGATGAAAAAAAAATGAATGAAGTGGCTGTTGAACTATTACAAATAATATTTTTGTTCACGGAATGTAACTGAACTGTTGCATTTCATGGGTGTGGTGTTGGTCCATCTTGACTTAATTGCAATATGCATGTTAACCTGTAAGTTTGAAAGCAGTTTGAAGACTTGAGGTACATGGACTGATGATGGTGTCGCTTTGGGTCTCCTTGCAGGCATTCATGCCCCTGGTCAGGGTGCCGTGCTCCCCAGATGTCCATCTTTTCCTGTGCCAGGCATTTTTCCCGATGTGCACCGATCCAAACAAGGTGACCTGGCCATGCCGGAGCATGTGTGAGACAGTTCACTCGGACTGCAGCAAAGTTGTCGAGACCTTCGGCATCACGTGGCCTCCGGAGCTCCAATGTGACAGGTGAATCTCGGAACAAAAGCTGAGCAGCGTTCAGCCGTGGGGTTATGATGATAGCTGCACCAAGAATGCATTGATACTGAATTACATCAACGCCGAGATTGTGTGTGCTTTAAAGGGATACTCCACCCGAAACGGGATTTAGGCTCATTCTTGTAAATTTGATGAGTAAATAAGCTCCTTCGTACAGTTTTGCAGACAAGCCTCTCTAAATACGGGAAGCTGTCTTGATTTTACTAGCCAGAGCTACAACCTATCTTGAGCCAGTACTTTTGAATCATTTTCATTGCTGGAGAATTCAATGTTTTGAAACCAGGCTCCAAACTGTCATTATAATTCACGTTTTTTAAGTCAGCTGTTATGTAAAGAGGATAATGACCCCATGCTCTCCTTGTCGGGCAGTCAAAGGGCATAAAGCATATTTTTTTTGGTCAAAGTAACAGGCATATAATTTGAAACACTGATTCTGTGAGAAATTGTAGGGTCTTGTTATATGACAATCATGCAGCTTCAGCTTCTAAAGCCATTTGGTTTCCTCCAGGTTGCAGAAGTGCCGCAGTCTATTGGTGAATCCTACCAGCCAGACGACCACGCCCAAGAGCTCACCGCCCGCCAAGCGAGACCTGGGATTCTGGTGCCCGCTGCAGCTCAAGACTCCAGCGGGTCAGGGTTCATCCTTCATGGGGGTCCAGGACTGTGCGCCCCCCTGCGCCTATATGTACTTCAAGGCCCACGAGGTGGAGTTCGCCAAGAACTTCATCGGCGTGTCCTCCATCGTCTGCCTGGGCGCCACGCTCTTCACCTTCCTCACCTTCCTGATCGACGTCAAGAGGTTCCGCTACCCCGAGAGGCCCATCATCTTCTATGCCGTGTGCTACTGCGTGGTGTCGCTCATCTACTTCATCGGCTTCCTCCTGGGCAACAGCACAGCCTGCCGTCGGGCCTCCCAGCTGGGGGCGGTCGACACCGTGGTCTTGGGCTCCCAGAACAAGGGCTGTACCCTGCTCTTTATGTTGCTGTACTTCTTCTCCACGGCCGGAACCGTGTGGTGGGTCATTCTCACCATCACCTGGTTCCTGGCGGCCGGGCCCAAGTGGAGCTGTGAGGCTATCGAGAAGAAGGCCGTCTGGTTCCACACGGCCGCCTGGGGGATCCCCGGGGCTCTAACTGTCATGCTGCTGGCCCTCAACAAGGTGGAAGGAGACAGTATCAGTGGCGTTTGCTTCGTGGGGCTTTACGATCTGGATGCCCTGCGCTGGTTCGTGCTAGCGCCGCTCGGCGTCGGCGTGGTAGTGGGCCTCTCCTTGCTGCTGGCCGGCATCGTCTCCCTCAACCACGTGCGGCAGGTCATCCAGCATGACGAGCGCAACCAGGAGAAGCTGAAGAAGTTCATGATCCGCATCGGCGTGTTCAGCGGCCTCTACCTGCTGCCGCTGGTCACCCTGCTGGGCTGCTACGCGTACGAGCAGCACTGGCGCAGCACCTGGGAGGACACCTGGGTCAACGACCACTGCCAGGAGTACAGCATTCCCTGCTCTCACAAGGTAATGATCAGCACTGGAAGGCTTATACTACAAGGCTTGGTCCTGGGGCGGGTGGCACGTGGCATGGTGGGGCAGTGGTTAGCACTGCTGCCTCACAGTAAGTAGGTTGTGGGTTCGAATCAGGCCTCGAGCCTTTCTGCGTAGAGTCTGCATGTTCTCCCAGTGTTCGTGTGGGGTTCCTCCAAGTACTCCGGTTTCCTTGCACAGTCCAAAGTCATGCATGCTAGGCTAATTGGAGACTCTGAATTGCCCATTGATTTGAATGAATTGTATGTTGACATGAGATAACTGGCCAGCAGCCATACCACTATTCGATCTGCTCCAGCTGCGTGGCTGAAGCTAAGCAGGCGTGGGCTTGGTTAGTACTTGGATGGGAGACCTCCTGGGAAAACCAAGTTGCTGCTGGAAAGGTGTTGGTGGCCAGAAGGTTGCGATCTGCCCTCTGGATGAATAATCCCCAATGCCCCAGTGCAGTGATGAGGACACTGTACTGAAGGAGACGCCGTCTTTCGGATGAGACGTTAAACTGAAGTCCTGACTCACTGTGATCATTAAAGATCCTATGACACTCTTCGATAAGAGTAGGGGGTTCCCCGGTGTCATGGCTAAATTCCCAACCTGGAGCTTTCTACCTGCCACCTAATCATCCCCTGATCTAATTGGCTGTGCAACTTGTCCTCTCCCTCCCCACCTCAACCCCCAGGGCTCCCTTGAAAAAGAGATTTCAATTTCAACGGGACTTCCCTGGTTAAATAAGAGTTAAATTAAAAAAATGACTGAAAAATTGCTGAAAGTGTCATTAAACAATAAAGAATGAATCAGTCTAATTTCTGGAGCCATGTTGGCTGTCTTGTCAGGTTCTGGGTTCTTTTGAGCTCTTTTTAAACACTTCAATTTACTGCTTAATGCACAAGCTCAGCATTACTTCTTTCCTTCAGTACTCTTCTATAAGGTTCTGTTAAATTAAGCCCTGTATCTAGGGCACTCTATCCATGCTGCAATTTATGGACTTGGACAAAATGGCCAAAATTTGTGAATGAGGAACTGGACGATTAACCTGGAGTGTGGGTTAACCTTGGAAGTATAGAGTACTTCATTGAAATGTATTTTCTTTGAATAGATGGCCTAGCTGAAACTTGGGTCACACTGTTTTTAAAGCTCTGGCAGTATTAACAATTGGGACACGCATTCCATAGATAAGTTTATCAAAATAGATCTCGATCTCGCATTTCTTCTTTGTTTGCACTGTTACCGCTCTGATTTGCTTCCCTCAGCACTTTTTTCAGGTCTATAATAAGTGGTTTGATTTCCTGTGCCAGGTTCATGCTACTGCTATGTATTTCTAAGGGTAAAAATGTTTTATAATGACAGGCTGAATCTGCTGACTTTAGCCAGCATAGTTTTGTGAATTTGAATGTTAGGCCTGGTTATGAAGCATAGATTACACAATAATTATATTTTTTCCATTGTCCTTTCAGAAAAATGGGGATGACCGCCCTGATTTGACACTGTTTTTAGTCAAATACCTGATGACGCTGGTGGTCGGGATATCGGCTGTGTTCTGGGTCAGCAGCAAGAAGACCTGCTCTGAGTGGGCCTTTTTCTTCAATCGGACCCGCAAAAAAGAGTAAGAGCATGGCCACCATTTTAGACACATTTCACAGACCTTAAAGTGCCTCTGTAGTACAGCCAGGTTAATCTGTGGAGGTTAACCAGGCACTTAATCATGCTGCACTTACCTTAAGTGTTTATAAATATCTGAAAGTAGTGTCCAAGTAATTTAATCAAAATGGCGGTTAATTGAGTAATTGTGGGTGAAATGATGCGCATCTGCGAAGTCTCCCATGTAGCCTGCCTGTGAAAAAAGTGTCTATAAGAAAAATCTTTGAGACAGCTGTTTTTGAGTCAGATGCCACTGTCTTCAGGAATTATTTAGGATTTATTACCAAATGTACTATCATTTCATAGTTCATCATACTGAAACTGATTTTGCCTTGTATTGAGGGAACATTTGTTGTTGTCTGCTCTCACTTGCTTTAAATGGGTTGGTCAACTCTAACTTTCCAACATGTCAATCCTATGAAAATTAATCGTACAAGAATTTTTCAATTCTGTGTATCGAGACATTCACTAGTTCGTCCCCATATAGCTTACCTAGACATTTGCAGTAAATACTACAATGACCACAATGCAACGCTAGCCAGCTGCTCAGACAGTCCCCCAACCCCCACTACAGGGGCATTCTTACCTGAGCCAGACCAGGCCTACTGACCCTATATACAATGGAGTGCGAAAATTTGGGCACCCCTGGTTTAAATGTCTGTTGCAATTAATCTCCAAGTGATTGAAAGCAAACCTGAACACGAAATGCTACAAAGTTAAACATGACACATTTCATCACATTTAAAAGCAAGAATAATTTTTATTTTGAACTTTTTGCAGTTTCAAAATAATAAAACAAGGAAAAAGGCCTTGTGCAAAAGTTTGGGAACCCTGTCAGCTAGTACTTTGTAACTTATCCTCGGGCAGCTATAACAGCTTGCAAACGCTTCCTGTAGCCAGCTAAGAGTCTTTCAATTCTTGTCTTTGGAATTTTTCCCCATTCTTCCTGACAGAACACCTCTAGCTCAGAAATATTCTGCGGCCTTCTTGCATGCACAGCATGTTTGAGGTCTCTCCACAGATTTTCAATAACATTCAAGTCTGGGGACTGTGATGGCCATTCCAAAACCTTCATCTGTCTTTCCTGGAGGTACTTCATGGTCGATTTTGAGGTGTGCCTCAGGTCATTGTCTTGCTCGAATACCCAACGTCTCTTCATCTTCAATTTCTGGACCGAGCTTTGAACATCAGCCTCTAGAATGTCTTGATATGTGGTGGAATCCATTCTTCCTTCCACCCGCACAATATTGCCTGTGCCCCCAGCTGCTACACAACCCCAAAGCATAATGGATCCACCTCCATGCTTAGCAGTTGGCAACGTGTTCTTCTCTACAAATGCTTCACCCTTTTTTTCCCCAAACATACCTTCTTGGGTTGTGGCCAAAAAGTTCAATTTTGGTTTCGTCAGTCCAAAGCACATTGTTCCAATAGGCTTGAGGTTTCTCGAGGTCCTCTTTTGCATACTTCAGATGCTTAATTTTGTGTTGAGGTCGTAGGAAAGGCTACTTTCTTGCAACTCTGCCGTGTAGGTCTTTGTTGTTTAAGGTACGCTGTGTTGTTGTCCTGTGAACAACTAGACCTGTGGCTGCAACTCTTTTTTGCAGCTCTTTTGCAGTGATGTGTGGGTTCTTCTGAGCATTTCTCACCAGATCTCGGGCTACTCTATCTGAAATTTCTCTTGGTCTTCCAGATCTTGCCTTGACTTCAATTGTTCCATTTATTTTCCATTTTCTTTCGATGTTTCTGATGGTAGAAATTGGTAGTTTGAAACGTTGCGAGAATTTTTCTTAGCCCTCTCCTTGTTGGTGGTAGTGAATTATCTTGATTTTGACATCCTTGGACAACTGTTTAGAGGAACACATGGTTTTTAACACCAGACACAACAGCCACCGCAGTCGGATACTTTAGAAGTCATGGAGTTACTTCAGAATATATGGTTCAACCCTAAAATTATATTCACCTGACGCATTGAAGCCCTAACGAGTAAATCACCTGGGTGTGGGCCTTAGTAATCATCTTCTTAGAAGGTAACAAAGAATAATCCAAAAGGGTTCCCAAACTATTGCACAGGGCCCTTTTTCTTTCTTATCATTTAAAAACTCAGAAAAATTAAAATAAAAAGAAACCTTGCTTTTAAATTTGCAGAAAGGTGTCATGTTTATCTTTGAAAGCAAACCTGAACACCAGAGGTGTAAAGTCTGGGTTCAGAAAGTAAAAATCCTCCCCAGAACTTTATTCCAACCACCTGGATTTACTTCTGCCAGGAGATAAAGCTAATATGAGTGATCAGCTCATTCTGTGGGAGGAAGAAAAACCTGGCAGGACTTTTACTTTCTGACCCCTGGATTTTACATCTCTGCTGAACACTAACTACTACAATCACCTCTAGATTAATTGGAACAGACATTTAAACCAAACATTTTTGCACCCCACTGTAGTTGGGCTGCAGACAGAGAAACTAATGCAGAGGCATCTTCACCTGTAGAGGTCCTTATTCAACTAACTGTGCTAGCTGTGCTGTGTCTAGAAACACAAGCTTAAAAAGCATCCAGGCAAGGGACAATATTCTCCACTCATTACTCACTGTCAATGATGGTAATTGTGCAATAGCCTTCTTACTTGGCTGACTGTGATGTCAGTATGACGTCCTCTGCTCATAATCTATATTATACTGCACCTTTCTCCCCATCATGAGTTATTTGACTGATGAAGACCTTGTTGGATGGAAATGTCACCTTTCAGTCGGTAAAGTACTGGGAGCTATAATCGCGTGTGCGGACATTTTTTGTGTTCGATTTTCAGATGTACATTTGTCCTGCACCTGGCCCTAAAAACAAGTTGGATGTGCACACAGCTTCTTTATTGTTGCCCCTGGACAAAGTCAGGCGGCTACGATGAATTAAAGTTTTTCTTCTCCGCCTCCGCGTCCGTGGACACTTCCTTGTGGACGCTGTGCAGGCTGTAATTTTTGACCAATTACTTTGATATTTGGTATGGACATGTGTCATACTTCAGTGATGACAGCTATCGATTTTAGTTGCCATGGCAATGGTATTGGCCGAATAATGCGCAAAAAAGGGGAGAAGCGGGCTTTCGGCGGCTACACCCGTACGATTGCAGGCGGCCAGACTGTCTAGTTGTGCTTTGTAATGAATCGTGTGCCTTTAATTTTTTCTCCCGATCGCAGCCCTATTACTGAGAGCCGCAGGGTGCTGCAGGAGTCTTGCGAGTTCTTCTTGAAGCACAACAGTCGTGTCCAGCACAAGAAGAAACACTACAAGTCCAGCTCCCACAAGCTGAAGGTCATCTCCAAATCCATGGGGACCAGCACAGGCGCGGCGACTGCACCCTCTGTGGGCCAAACCGTCCCCTCAGCCGCCGCCGCGTCCAGCAGTAATCCGAACGTCCTGGGTCGCTCCTCGTTCTCCGAGGCCTCGGGGAGGGAGCTGGGGGAGAGGGGCAGCACGAGCCG